GGCCACCGCCTGAAGAGCCTGGACAAATGTGTCAAGCAATTACAGCCCTTCCCATCCACGATGGATGCAACCCTCTCATCACAGCACGTGGATGCTTTGAAACAGAGACTCACCAGAGCGAGAAGATCAAAACCCACAGCCAAGTCCTAACTTTGCATCGACAGTGGACCCCAAACACAGTGCCAAACACCTCTTCACAGTGGCATACTTAAGTTTGGAGTCTTTCACAATTTCTCTGGGCTCACCATGACCTCCAACCCATGTGCCGGGGCAGAAAGGATCAGCAGCAAACACACTTCTCCCCCAAAAGACACGAGAGAGCCTTCCCGTGCCTCGCGTGCCGGCGGTCTCACCATTAAGCCTCTCCCCGGCCAGCTCCCTCGGCACTACTCACCGTAGAGGATCATGCTGGCGTTGGTGTTTCCTAGCTGGTTGGAGGCTACGCAGGTGTAGTTGCCATAGTCCTGCTCGGAGACGTTGAAGAAAGTCAGTCTGGAGAAGAAGGCTTTGTTCTCCACTTTCAGGCCTTTCTGTCCTTCAGCCAGCCTGGGAGAAAGGCAGAAGGGGAGAGGGTCATGGGGATGGTGTCGGGAGGAGAAGTACCCGCTACTTTCCATGACTCGCTATCCCCTGGTCCTGCCTGAGAGCGGAGACACCCAGCCTGGGGCAAAGATCAGGCCTGAAGAAGGAGAAGGGAAGGTATTGGGAGAGATATGGGAGGTGGATGCTGCTCCGCTGGGTCTCGTCCCTTAGCTGCCAGCCCACGCCATCCCCAAGATGCCTACAGGCATCCTCACAGATGCAGTCCCTGCTGAAGGGGGTGGCTTTGGGGCTTGCCAAATGCCGTGCAGAGGGAGGGATGCTCGCACGCCCAAGGAGGGTACCTGGGAAAGGCTCCTTCCCACCCAGCAGAAGAGCCTGGCTTCGCTCTCGCCTTGACCCCCGAGGGCTCCTTGGTCCTCCCGGCTCTGCGGGATGCCTTCTGGCACCTTCCCCTTCCCTGACCCCCGGCAGCCCCCTGCGTGCCCCTGACGGGGCTGGCAGCACGCTGGCCCGAATGCCAGCACCGCGGCGGGCTCTGCACCACGTAGCAGGGAGGGGCTTCTCAGCCATGGCAAACAGTGAAGCCTTAACCAAGGGCTTTGACTTCCCCGAACCGGCGCCGCTTTGCTCCTGCGGCTCTTTTACTTGCTAATTCCTCCCGGGAGGTGCCGGATCCCCATTATCACCCCTGCCGGGCTCCCACTGCCGATCCGGGCGGGCTGAGCCCGCTCCTGCCGCTGCTTCGTGGGCCCTGGTGATCTGACCTACTTCTGAGCGAAGCCTTTCATCTGCCACGCAAACATCTGCCGCTTTGTACACTCCGCCTGCTCCTTTCCTCCCAAAACAGCCTAGGCAGGCGACCCAGCCTCCCCTGTAGCTGCCGTAGCATCCTTCCCGACCAAAACATGCCTCCTTATTAGCGACCCGCACAGCTCGCCCTGTGTTTGGATACACCACGGCCCCTCTGGGCTTCCTGGGGAGAAGCAACGCAAAAATGGGTTAAAAAAAGGTTTGCCTGGGGTCAGAGAGAGACATTTGCTCTGGAGTGGGACCCTACCCCTGGCTGCGCTGCTCCCCTCCTGGCTGCCCAGCCACGGCTTTGGCGGGACAACAGGAGCTGCCGGTTGACCTAAAAGGGCGACTTTCACCCCAACGCTGGGCGGGCTGTCCCTGAGGTGTAGCAAACCCTATCTCTCGACCGACACCGCGTTTCTCCTGCCTTTCCAAGAGCAAGAGGCTGATGCTGCCTTCTGGCCAAAGCGTTTAAAAAGGTGACAGGGATTTCATCCGCTCCTAAGTCCTTGGATTTGCACTGCCAATATTGCTCTTGGCCATTATGCTTCACCCAAGCAGGGATTTACCATCAGGCCGTAAATCGGAGGCATGGGCAGCAGCGACCCTGCCCATGCTGCTTACCCAGATGGAGGCCAAAACCTGTCTGATGGAGGCTCCTGCAAAAATATCCCCCCTTAAACGCCCCTCCTCTATTTTCCACCTTTTGCAGAGTTAAATACAAAGCCCTGGCCTGTTTTTAACAGGTACCA